GAGAGACCCTGTTATTTGGTTACCACAGTGTACCTTTCATAAACTTTTGGCCTTTCCCCTGCCAAATGTATACCGCTCCTTTAAGGCCATTGCAACCCTGTTGGGAGTAGCAAAAACCAGGTCATCGACATAGACAAGAATATAGAACAGAGTCTCACCAGCGCGAACGAAAGGAGAAGGATCGGCAGAAGACCAGAAGAAGCACCGCGATGTGCATTAGTACCCAAAGAGTGGTCATCTTCGGGGTGGGGGAGAAGGTATGAAATAATTCAACCTCCTTACGTTGACTGAAGCATCTTGCCACATAGTGCACCTTAGAGGTAGGCGGCACTCCAGGTGGTCGCTTCACCTTGAAGTTCTACATTCCGTCAACAACGTTCGCCCCAAGAGGGGGAACTGCATCAACATAAGTGCCTGTGGACCTCCAATATGCCATCTCTGCGTCCATGACCTCTATCCACTAATAGGCCCAGCGTCCTGGAACTGCCTTAGCGTAGGTGCGTGGGGTCAGGATGTCAAGAGCGTCTGGGTCACCCTTAGGGGCTAGCAGCATGGCACCGAGGTGAGGAGTAGCGATCGCAAGGAAAGCCAGCTTGAATGGCCTGTCCTCTAGGACGTAACGGTCAAGGGCAGGAGCACACCTGACGAATGGAGGACGGGCAGGAGCAGACACCGAGTGGCATAGTAAAGTCAGCGGGTGGAGGCAAATTCGGTGATAGAAGTGATAATATCCAAGGTAGACAAGGGAGAAGAAGGAGGTCAGTAACTAAGGCGGAAGGGCACAGGCGAGCAACATGGAGAAAGAATGAGAATGGGGGAAGAGAGACAGTAAGGGACGACTGGGGAGGTAACGGTGTAGAAGGAGGCGAAACACGAGGGGGAAGAGAACGGAGGCTCACTGAGTAAAAACCAGGAACAGGAGACGAGGGACAAGTCTGAGGGGCTCGACAGGGCCAGGGGAAAGAGACAAGAGATGGGCCAGGAAGGGAAGGAGGAGAAAGCTGTGAACGAGGAGGAAAACGACCCGGAGACGGGTCCGGGAGAGGCAGTGGAGGACCGTAAACAGGGAGAGGCGGTGCGTGGCCAGACAAGAGGTAAGGGAGTCCAAGGAGACGAAGTACAGTCGCAAGAAATGTCGGTTGCTACGGCTGCGGCTGCTGCTGCAGCGGCTGCAACTGTTGCTGCTGCGGCTGCTGCTACGGTGGTTGCTGCTGCTGCGGCGGCAGCTGCTATAGCCATGACGAACGTCACGAATCCACGGTACCCCTAGAGCCCAAACCTCATGTGGTAGCACCCCCAGAGCTAGTACCCCCAGTGCCTGCACCCCCAGTGCTAGCACTCAATGCAAATACATCCTCAGAGCTAGCACCCCCTGAGTCCACAGAGATTGGCCGTTGCAACGACAATCTCTCCGGCTATGAAGAAGGCTGCTGCGGCGACTGCGGGGTGACGTGCGACACGCCATACAGGGCAAGACGCAAGGGGAGGGGAGCCATAGGAGGAGTGGGACCAAAAGGAGGAGTTGGAGTGAGGAAGAGGGGAGGAGAGGGAACCGGGTTACCACAGCGAGGGAAGCGCGAGTAGAAACTGGCCGACTTGTCAAAAGTGACGTCATGAGAGCGGAAGAAACGGCAAGCCGAAGAGTGGTAGAACTGCCAGTCAGGGGCATATAGGGGGGAACCAATTAAGACATAGGAGAGGGTCCAGGCTGAGAGCTTGTCGGCGCGAGGGCCGCGGACGTGAGCAAGGCAGCCCAAATGCGAAACGCAAGAGCAGCACAAGGGGACCGAGTCCATAGGAGGGTCGGCGAAACCTATGTCCGTGAGACACTGTGCCACAGTTTAAGCTCGTGCGCGGCGTAGCAACGGCCACAAGAAATGGGGGCCACTGTATGGACCATGATGGTACGGGCGATCTCAATAACCAATCCAATGCGAGCTCAGCTACCCCATTATATTGAGGAGAGTGCGGGGATGTGTACGCCTGACGGATACCCTCCTCACGATAGAACTGGGTAAGGCAACCAGAGGTGAACTCACCACCACTGTCAAAGTGCAGACGAAGGACATGCAGGTTGTGCAGGGTGCAGATGGCCACTATCTATGGGAGGAGAGCATCAGGCACGTCGGCCTTCTGCTTCAAGGGAAACACCGAGGTGTAGCTGGAGATGTCGTCTACAAGTACTAGTGTGACCTTCTGCTCGCCGCACGGCCCAGAGATGGGGGCAGGGCCCTAGACATCCATGTGCAAGGTCTGCAGAGGTGCAGTAGTACGAAGAAGCAAGGAGGAGTGAGGGGCGGTGCGCTGCCAGCCCTCAATGCACAGAGTGCACGGCAACACAGACAAAGGAGGGAGCCAGGAGAGCGACACCGGGAGACCTGAGGCAAGACGGTGGCGAACCATGTGACGGAGACGCAAGAAGGAGGGGTGACGTAGATGGTGGTGCCACAGGAGCGACGGGTGGGTGAGCGACCAACAAGAGTAAGACGCAGCTACCTGACTAGACCCAGCACCCTAGGGTAACGCAGTGCTTAACGTGATCAGACCTGACGCGGCTCTCGAGAGATCGTGGCAAGAGGCGTCCCAGTGGTAATGTTAGTATAGACTGTAAACTACTTGTGCCCATGAATCCTAGTGGTGATACCGAGGTCTTGGAGACGACCGACACTCACCAAGTCCCTGGAGAATGAGGGGAGGTGCAGACCTGTAAGGGAACCTGAGTGGACCCCCGGGCACGGGAGTGTAGTAACGCTGCGTGCGACAACCGGTTCAGAGGAGGGATCGGCCAAGGCGATTGTGACAGGAGCCAGGAAGCTGAGAGAGGGTGGTGCGGTCGAGAAGAAGCACTCAGATGCGCCAGAGTCAAGCATGAAGGAGAGTGACGCGTCAGCGGTGCACACATCCGGACAAGCAACAGCATCAAATCCTATATTAGAGACATCCAGACATCCTAGTCTAGGATCACACAAATAATCAGAGTCAACATCACTAATAGTCAGCATCATACATCACATGGTCAAGCATGCACGATAGACATGTCCATAGTAAACACAGGCAGGACCCGGCGGAGCAGTGCAGCCCAGTCGGGGTCAGGCACCATATGTCCGAAGCAGCCATGGTAGAGGTCGATGAGGCGGCTAAAGCACCGCTCAGCGGAGTAATCAGGACACTCGCAGATGCGGCCATTGGGTGGAACAGTCTGAATCACGTACTGGCATGGCCCACCACCGCGACCAGTGCTCCCGATCCGGCACAACCCCACTGCTGTTGCAGGACCCACTGCTGAAACTACTGCGGGTGCTGTGTTGCATAGGATCCAGTCACTTTGAAGACTTACGACGAACTCAAATCTCAACTAAACGCAAGTTCGCTTGGTAGGATTGTGCGCGCTGGTCTTAGCTACCATTTGCCAGTTGAATCACTTGATTTCATGGTCTAGGGAGTGAGAACAAAGTAAAAACGTATATCTCCTACATTCACTAGAATAGATGGAGGAAGAACAAACATTAGACATAGTTTGAGGAGTTGGGGGGTTTCAAGAGAACCTTGTGAGGGAAGGGCTCTCCAAATGCTTTGGAAGTATGGTGGGAACCTTCATAGTATCAAAGATGCAACCCTCATGATGAGGTCCTTGAGGTGTCACATGCAAAATCCAATCCAATTGGATTTTGCCTAGGTGTTGTAACATTTGCAACCCATGCTAGAAACTTCTAGCCACCCCAATCCAAAAGTCAAACTTGCCTTCCTAACCACCCAACCAATGATCCATATAGTCATGTCCCGATAATCGCCCAATTTAGTTGATAACCCAAATCAAGATAGAATTCCCAAATCTTGGAAATCTTGTAACTTGGGCGATTTTGGTCGGAATAAGGCGATCTTGGTATCGTTGGAAAGCTCTGCGCAAAATATCCACATTATATTATAAACGACTTTCAAAACAGCATTTAGTCCGAAACCATTTCTCCTGCATGATCTTGGTATCGTTGGAAAGCATTTCTCCTGCGCGATCAAGCATTTGGACTTGGAGAAAAACACAGAGGTGATAAAATCCAACAGCCATGCATAAGGATTTATGCTAATGAATTGAACGAGTACACGGCAGGACGTTAGGATGACGTGCACGCATACTGACGTGCATACAACATGCTGCTTCTGCGCCCCCGCCGCACCCCGAGAACCAACACCTCCTCCGGCTGCACCTCCAGAACCAGCATCCTCAGCGATAGCACTCCCTAATGAACAAGCAGCTCAACCACCTCCACCTCCACCTCCACCTATCGTGCATGCTTGACCATAGTGTGTGTGCTCCAGTCGTACCACGCGATATTCATTTTGCTAGGCCGGAGTGGCGTCACCAACAAGATTACAAGGACATGGCATGATCGGAATTTTGCTCGTACAGAGAGACGTCTTATTGAAGCTAGCTCTTCAGGTAGATCTGGAGATCGAGCAGCCACTAGTCAAGGTTTAACGCACGACCCTCCGCATCGAAACCTAGGACTGACTTAGTTGCCATAGTGGCAAGAGCCGGTGCACAATTGTCGCAGGCAAGAGGAAACGGCCATAGGAGGAGGAAGAGCAAGCCTATGAAAAACCCTAACTGCAGAGGAAGACGCGACAACGGGTGCAACTGCAGGTGCACGTTAAATTCTGGCAGCAGCGTCAAGAACTCTGGTAGGTGCTGGCAACTCGGACGACACGTGCAGTGCGGGTGGCTCGAGCGGTGCGGGCGGTGTGGGCAGCGCGGGCAGCTCGGGCGGCGTAGGCGGCACGGGCAGCGCGGGCGGCTGGCAGGCAGGAGTGGCGCACTGGCGGCAAGCTGGCAGTGCGTTGCTGGCACACTGCAGGGGCAGCAGTAGCGACGTCGCATGCGGCAGCGGCCAGTGCGCTGCAGCGGGCGCACAGCGGCAGCAGCGCGAGAAGTGGTGGTGGCACACGTGGCAGCTGCGAGCGTGCTACAGCGGCAGTGGCACAAGCAGCGGCAGTGGTGGGCGTTGCTAGCGTGGTGGTAGTAGGCGCGGGCGCAGCGGTCGCAAGCGCAGGCGCGAGCGAGAGTGCGGCTGCAGCATGCGCGGGTGCGGCGAGCGGTGGCACTAGCACAGCGGCAGGCACGGGTGGGGGCATGGGGCCTAGGGTAGGGCGCACAGGCTAGGTGCGATGGGGCCTAGGGTGGGGCGCGAAGGGGCCACCAGGTGGGGCGCGGGCGGTCGCGCCAAGGGCCGTGCTAGGAGGGGCGCGCTATGGAGCGCTTGAGGAGGCCACGCTAAGGGCGCACTAGGGGCGCGATGTGAGTGCTCTAGGAGGGCGCGACGGGGCACTCTAGGGGGCGCACTAGGGCAGGCGGGGTAGTTAGGGTAGGCGGGGCGGAAGCGGTTGACCTAACCTACTCGATGATACCATGCCAGAAAGAGAGAATGGTGACTGGCATGAGAAGGTACTTCTAGGCATTTGAGTTGATAAGTCCGTCTTTTTACGCCTCTTTTTGCAATTCAATACATGCTTATCCACGAATACGGAGTATGCTGCGAGTGGCGTATCTTCTCACCATTTCTCCTTTGAGTAATCTTTTGGCACCTAAATACGGTATTTGAAAATTGAGTGTGGGCCATTGATGAGATGTATGAGAGCGTCGGATTGTACTAGGGTAACAAACATGTCAAAATTCTAAACATTTCCTACTTGCTATTGCACACACTGAAACCACAACATTTAAAGACCGACAACATTCCCATAGGTGTGAAACGCGAACCAACCAAATGCCACCACACAACATGCATACCAAATGACATGGTAGGTCATACATCCGTAATTTTCCCGAGGCGCCCATCCCGAAAGCATCCGCGTCATAGCGGTGTCGTAACTCTTGTTGGAGCAACTTCGAGTACCCGATAATGAACCTACCCCTCCAAACCCCATTTTTGCAATGCACCAAAAGTGCCCCAAAGCGATCTAATAATAGAGAAATCAAAGAGCTAGGGTGGGGCCTCAAATAATCGAAGTGGCTTGTCACCCTTTTGCCTCACGTCATACCCCATGGTTAGTTGAGAAAAGTGTATTGTAGACGCGGGCTGGGCCCCACACGTCCATGTGAAGCGTCTGCAACGGGGCCTCTGTCGGAGGAAACTGGGAGGAGTGAGGGGCAGCACGCTGGTGCCCCTCGACACAGGGGACACAGACAGGGCCAGGGCCCTGAGGAAGGGGAGGGAGGGACCAGGGAAGACCAGACACAAGAAGACGGGAGGCCATGCCTCTGAGCCGAAGCAGAGAGGGGTGACCCAGGCAGTGGTGCCAGAGGAGGGTCTCGTGAGACAGACGACGACACGAACAGGGGGCAGACTCAGGACCAAACCTGGACGCTGCAGCAAACACCTGACCAAACGAAGTGACCCTACCAGACTCAGTACCTGGAGGAGAAGCAGTGGTCAGTGTGTACAGGCTCAACCCCGGCCGGCGTGTAAACGTAGCCAGGTGGCGACCTGTGCTAGCCTCCGTGCAGTGTGTCACCCGCTGACGAGCAGGAGTGAACTGGTGGACACCCGCATCCTGTAGGTCAGCACCACTCACCAGGTTCGTCGAGAACGAGGGGAGGTAGAGACCAGACAGGGTGCCAGAGGGGGCCGCCGGACACGGAAGGACCGTGGAGAAGCGAGACAGGACAGGCTCCCCAGAGGGGTCTGCCAGGGACACCGCAACCGGCCGACTCAGCGGCGTGAGAGTGGTGCGGTCCTGAAAGAAGGAGCGAGACGCTCCTGAGTCAAGGGTGAAGGTGTGAGAGGCCGAAGCCGACACAGTACCTGAGAGGGCAGACTCACCAGTACCTGAGAGCACAGACGCACTGGCACCTAGAGCAGCAGCCTCACGAGTACCTGACGCAGCAGTACCAATGCCCGGGTCGGGCGGGAAACACCGGTAACAGTCATCCTCATCACTACCAGTCACAGCATACATAGCAGAGAGAATAGCATCGAAGTCAAGATCATAAATAGCTACACCAGCCCTAGACAGCTCCCCCCAGCGGGGGATCTCAGCGGCCTCCGGAAACTGCTGACGCCAGGCGTCGGTCAGGCGGCCAAAGCAGCGGCGGGCTGTGTGGGTGCCTCCACACCTCTCCCCTGCACGGTCGCCGGTGCGAAGAACGTAGGGGCAGGGACCAAACGCACCACCACGCTGACGCTGCAAGTACCACTCACGGAGCTGCTGAGGGGCGGGGACGGTGCGAGAGCGCTGCTGCTGCTGTGGCTGCTGCTGCTGCTGCTGGCGCTGACCACCCCCAGAGCTGCTCCGCTGAGACGAGCCACTCCGACCCCCGCCTCCACCGCCACCCCCGCCTCCACCGCCACCCCCGTCTCCACCGCCACCGCCCCCACCGGCACCCTCGCCCCCGCCTCCTCCGCTACCTCCTCCGCCGCCACCTCCGCCTCCACCGCCTCCACCAGTACCTCCACTCCCGCCACCACCTCCACCGCCACCCCCACTCCCCCCGCCACCCCCACCTCCCCCGCCACCGCCCCCTCTAGCTCCACCCGCTCCCTTGCCCCCCTTGCCTTTGCCAGTGTGGCGTCTACCGCTGGGGGCAGACGCCGCACCGACCGACTCAAAACCAGCGAGGTCGGCCGCAGCGGCAGAGGCGACAGAGGGCAGCAGGGGGGAAGGAGAACACCCCTCAAAGATGGGGGTGCGAGGGTCACCCCGAGAGGCCCCTACAGCGACGATGCTCTTCTCAGCCGCTAGCAGGGACTCCTCAAGGAGGTCGACAGTGAGGGTGGTGGGACACACAGAGAGAAACTGGTCCCTAACCACACGAAGGGACTCAGGGAGACGATTGACGAGAAAGTAGAGAGTGATGTACATGGGAGGAGGGTTTGCGGCGCGGAACTCAGCAGGAAGGGCAGCGCGGTAGCGAGCGTCACTAGCGCGGAGGTGGGTAACGAGGTCAGCGACAGTGGGAAAGGCAGCGAGGTCAGGGAAGAGAAACGGTAGCATGAGGCGGCTAAGCGTAGCGGAGGAAGGGGAGGAGTAGCGTGCAACTACAGCGTCGTACAAGGCCTGAGCGGACTTGCACTGACTAAAATGGGCAAGCTCGGAGGAAGGGAGGTGGTGACGCACAGCAAGACGTGCAGCAGCATCGCGGGTCGCCCACTTGGAGCGAACAGCGGGGTCAGCATCAGCAGGAGGGGCAAGGACAGCGCCAGAGACAAAGTCAAAGAGAGAGACCTCATCTATCGCATCACATAGTAAGTACAGCTGCAGGTCTTCAATCCAGACTGCAAAGTCAATAGCTCTACCCTCAGCATCAAAAGCTAGGACAGTGGGGGTGGCCATGACAGCAGCTGACAGTCTCACCGGGCAGGAAAAAGTCGGGTAGGTCAGCGGCACAGAAACACAGCCCGGGCGGCTCGGGCGGCTCGGGCGGCTCGGGCGGCTAGGGCGGCTCGGGCGGCTCGGGCGGCTCAGGCGGCTCGGGTGACGCAGGGGCTCACGGGCGGCGCGGGCGGCTGCACGGGCGGCACACGGGCCGCTGGTGGGCGGCTGCACGGGCGGCTGCACGGTGGCGCTGCGGGCTGCAGCACGGGCGGCGGGGCCGACGGCGGGCCGTAGCGGGGCTGTAGCGGGGCCGGGTAGCGGGGCTGTAGCGGGGCAGTAGCGGGGCCGACGGTGGGCTGTAGCGGGGCCGACGGCGGGCCGATGGTGTTAGAAACTAAGGACGGAGTCTGTGAAGATTAGGAGCCTAAATTTCTCAAAATCGTTGGCTTGAAATTCTGGACAGAATCGTCGAGTTCACAAGAAACGCCGTCGACGAAAAACGCACCGTCAAAACTTCACGAATTTCAGATATGTTGTAGCTCTTATCCATGGCTACAATTCCCAAGTTGAATCGTGTGATAAGGTGGAGTATTTCTCGAGTTTTTAATTTTGGCGCACTAGGGGGTATGCTGCCACATGCTTAACTCAATAACAAAATAGTTCTCACAAGTTCCACAAAGTTACATACAAGAGAGTTAGGGTAGCACTAAACCAGGTAGGAGGGAAGAGGAGGACGAGAGGGAAGGTCCCAAGAGATTCCCCAACCAAGGAAACCCCATGCCACACAATTCCCTTCCCCATAGGCAACCCCACTTTCACATTTGTCACTTTCCCAACTCATGCCATCCACCTCAACCCACTTGGCCACACTTGCCAACCTGGTTTGGCTTCACCCAACCACATAGCAGCATTCTACAGTGATGGGTTCGAATTCCCAACCCCCAAAAGTCTGTACCCCATATTGAGTCAACCCCACAACTTCCCATAGTCGCCACAACCGAAGTACAGAAAGCATACGAACTCCAACGTTCGTAACTTTCTTGATATTGCTCCGATCGCGACGATTCTTGGCTCGTCGGAAAGATCTTGAGCAGTGGAGTCACTTCAGATATCTGCTCAAGCCAAATAACATTCACACACACTCAGAAAATCCAAACCACAGAAAAACACAAATTCTTGCGCACGCTCATTTCACACATGCAACGCACGAACACATGATGGGAGGCAGACAGACGTGAATGCAAATGATAGCATCACATAACAAACTCCCCCTCTGGCTGCCAACCATCATCCCACATGCCATAGCTCAAGCATGCACCCTCAATGTACACTCATCCCAGCAAGCTTCATGCCCTTCCAATGCTCAGGTTCTGCCAGGCGTTTGGTGAGAATGTCAGCTGCCTGCTGCTGGGTCTTCACAATCTCCAGCCGCACCTCCTTGTCCAGGAGCCTCCTTGTCCAATGCCACTTTGGCCTGATGTGCTTTGTCAAGCCATGAAGACAGGCATTCTTTGCAAGCTTCACCGCCGACTCATTGTCACAGAAAATCACAGTCGGCTCCCTTTGACCAACCCAAATCTCCTCTAGCAAACGCCTCAGCCACACCACCTCCTTTGCCCCATGATGAAGGGCCATGTACTCTGTCTCACACGAGGACAGCCCCACCTCGTTCTGCTTCTTGCTGCGCCAGCTCACTGCACCACCTCCAAAGAGGCACACATAGCCTCCAATGCTGGTGCCATCCGTCTTCACTGAGTTGAAGCTAGCGTCGGTGTAGCAAGTCAAGCGCATCTCCCCCTTGCTCAAATCAGCTGCACCCCTCTGTAGCCTCTGTCGCACAGCACTGTACTCCAAACCCACTGATGCCGTTGCACTCACATAGCAGACCAACCTCTTGGCCGCTTCTAGCTGCTCATGACTTGGGCATGAAACCACACTCGCAAGCCTGGATGTAGCAAAGGCAATGTCAGGCCGCGTGTGGTTAGCCGCATAGTTGAGTGCCCCCACCATGGAGTGAAACAGCTTCCTGTCACTCTCTCCCACCACCTCCTCATCAGCACAGGGCTGCAGCGAAGAGGGTGTTGCGCTACTTGTGCAGTACGTCGGGCATGGGGCTAGTGCTTGAAGGGCGACGTCCAGTGGTTCTCACAGGTAACGCAGACGCTTCTTGGGCTGACGACCAGGCTACGCAGTGGTCGTCACAAGGTTACACCTTCAGCCTTGGTTCCGGCTCTGTCTCGTGGCAGTCTACCCGCTCGTCTTCTGTTCTCGGCTCCAGCTGTGAGGCCGAGATCTACGCAGGGGCCATGGCTGCACAGGAGCTACGCTAGCTCACCTACCTGCTGACTGACATAGGAGAGCCGCCTCGTTCTCCTCCAGTTGTGTACGTAGACAACAAGGCCATGCTGGCCTTGTGTCGGGAGCACAGACTGGAGCACAGAACGAAGCACATTGCTCTTCGTTACTTCCTTGCTCGTGAGCTGCAGCAGCGCGGTCAGCTGCGCCTTGCCTACGTGGCCTCCGAGGCCAACACTGCTGGTATCTTTACCAAGGCACTTCCGCCTTGTGATCATCAGCGCTTCTGTACTTTGCTAGGTCTTGTGCCTACTTGGCCTCACTTGCTCACCTCTTGACTTTGTTTGTACTGTGATCTATATATACCTGCAGTTGCATGCTTACTCGTGCTAGGTTGAGATTACTGCCTTGCTTGTTCTGCTTGATGTATAACTCTGCATGTGAACTGGCCTTGTTGCCTTGTGCTTGTGCTCAGATTGTGTGGTGACGTTGTGATCCACCCTGGGCTTGCCTTGCTTCTCTTGACTGGTCTTGTGACCCCTTGTTCCCCCACTTTGCCTATGGGGGTGTGTCGAACTATATATGCTATAGTCTGTTTAGGCTGTAGTGGGGTAGTCAATATGGGGTACAACACTTTAGGGTTTCCTACTTGTACTCCTCGTGCTGCTCTATGCAATCATTTATCCCTCAGATTCTCACACTGGGCACCCGACGATGCCTATTTCGCGAGGGAAAAAATCTCGCATTTAAACCACACCCCTGCATTTCGGTTGAAAAAACGGGTGTATAGTCCTTTCCCCCATACCCAATCAAATGCGTACAACTGTGCATTTCGCCTGGTCGCCTAGTGTCGCGATACATTCAGTTTTTGTGACTTTGGCAAAATGTTTCGACGCGACTCGAAAAAATGGCATTGAGGCACTTGTGTCCCCATGGGAATTTTCCCTAAGTTGGCAAACGAGTACAAGACAAAATATCGTATGGCCCCGGATAGAAGCGCAGGCCTATGTTAAGCGCATGCGCTTGTATCTGGAGCAATGCGCTTATTGGCGATCCTCAATTATAAGCGCACCCCTTGGGAAATCGTGACTTATTATAAGCGCACCGTTTTAGTTTTAAAAAAAAAAGAATATCATTTTTTTTTACCTACCTAGCCTACATGTTCTAAACTTTCCATTAAGTTAGACAATCACATATGGTACAAGGGTGGTCTCTGCTGTCCTGCACTACACACCTTTCAACTTGCCTAGTCTACCCTACTGCCTATTCTTCCTCCTCGTCCGACTCGGGCTCCGCGGAGTTGTTGCCCTAGAACCCATCTGCCTGGATGTCGTCGTCCACCTCCACCTCATGGGACAACTGGCTTCTCCGGTGCGCCAGCACCAGTTTGTCTTCGCTCCCATCAAGGGCGTTGCTGATGCCGCACGTAAGGAAGGCTTTCTGTGGAAGTTTAGAGTGAAAAGTTGACTAAGGGAAAATGTCGAGGGTATAAAACCTAAGGAAACAAACCCTCTAAAGTGAACCCCACTACAGCCTAACAACAATACTAACATATATGAATATATGTCTGACACACCCCCATAGGCAAAGTGGGGAGAGCAAGGGGTCACAAGACCAGTCAAGCAAAGCAAAGCAAGCTCAGGGTGGATCTCAATGTCACCACACATTCCGAGCAACAAGTTCAAGGCCACTGGGCCAGTTCACATGCAGGAGAGCATATATATGCAACAGTACAAGCAAGGTCAAGAGGTAAGCAAGTGAGGCCCAGTGGGCACAAGGCCTAGAAGAGTGCAAAAGCGCTAATGGTCACAAGGCGGAAGCGCCTTGGTGAACACATCAGCAGTCTTGGCCTCAGTGGCAACGTAACGCAGACGAAGCTGACCACGCTGCTGCAGCTCTCGAGAAAGAAAGTAGCGCAGAGCAATGTGCTTCGTCCTGTGCTCCAGTCTGTGTTCCTCACACAAGGCAATGGTTGCCTTGTTGTCGACGTACAGCACTGGAGGAGAACGAGGCCACTCTCCAAGGTCAGTCAGCAGGTACGTGAGCCAGCGAAGCTCCTGAGCAGCCATGGCCGTGGCGTAGATCTCAGCCTCGCAACTGGAGCTGAGAACAGAAGAAGAGCGAGTAGAACGCCAAGAGACAGAGCCAGAGCCAAGGCTGAAGGTGTAACCCTGAGACGACCGCTGAGTAGCCTGGTCGTCTGTCCAAGAAGCGTCTGAGTGCCCAGTGAGAACAGGCCTGTCTCGCCCTCCAAGCACTAGCCCCATGCCCGACGTACTGCACAAGTAGCGCAACACCCTCTTAGCTGCATCCATGTGCTCCTTCCGGTGACGGCCAGGAGCGACATAGCGTGCTAAGATGCTGAGAGGGTATGCAAGGTCAGGTCGAGTGCAGGTCATCAGGTACATGAGGCAGCCCACAAGCTCTGGATACGGACCACTCGGCTCTACGGACTCATCCGAAGGCAGAGCTGAGAGCGAGTGTCCCATAGGCAGAGGAGTGGACTGAGGCGAGGAGTACGTGAAGCCGAAGCGCTGAAGGACCTGCTGCACCATGTGTGACTGAGTCAGGGTAATGGTGCGGTGTGCTCTGTCCCGGGTGATCCGCAAGCCAAGATAGCTTGTCAGTTCACCCAGGTCTGTGCACGTGTGCCTCTTCTGCAGCTCGGACCTCACGTGGGCGAGTGCGGCAGTGTCCGCAGTGGCAAAGACCAAGTCGTCGAC